GGAGATGTCATTTGTCAAAAAAGACGCTTCTAATCTATCTTCAAAACAGACAGTCGGTGCTGCTGGGTATGCGCAGAAAAGATTCTTCCAACTCTGCGCCCATACAGCCTTGACCTTTGCCAAGTATCTCTTCAGAGGTATTTACCTGGCCAACATTTAGAGTATCAGATGTGACGTGGAGCTGCAGTATGCCTATAAGCAGAAGTAAATCTTGTCAGGGAATAGATATGACTCCTGACTTTCAGATTTAACTGGAATACAACTAGCCTGGCTATAGTGACTGAGCTTCCTTAGGGCAAGCAACTACCTGTGTTACAAGCATACTGGGTAACTGTGATGCAATTAAGGATTTTTTCTGCATACCTCAAAGGATTCTTCCATCAGTTTGCTAACAGGACTCCTGACTCTAGAAGTGTATTTGCACCACGTCCACCAGACAGAATATTCACTTTGCCTTGCTTGCACACATTGTATGCGAAACAGACGTTTAACACCAATTTTGAAGGTGAGTTATAAGATGCACTCTGAAAGAGCAAATCTTTACTACCGTGGAAAACAGTGCTGCTCTTACAACTCTCATCCTTCGGTGTAGTAGTAGCTAATCAGCTTCCTAGTAGGCTACATAATGAGCTGAAACACCAGGTGTCAAGCTGCTTGTACGTATGGCAGTGTGTACAAATGCCAATTCAAATGAGAATTACTTAAAGGCAGAAGCACTTCTCATATCATTAAATAACTGAATGGGTTTTTTTTGCACTGACAGTTCAAAAGATAAGTTCACTGCTAACAAAAATAAGTAACTTAGATTGTGACATTTCTTACAAGCTGAATGAATCATTACATGGAAATGGTCATCTTTCACACTTTCAAAGACGCCGTAAAAGGCTCATGGTAGGGAGAAGAGAGGCCTCTCTCTGAAACACTCTTGAATTTGGAGCAGTACTCCAGCACCAGCATTCTAATGTGGCATAAAATATAACTGGTCCAATCTGAACTAAAAGCATTCAGCAGCACAGACTCTTTCAGCACCAATTTCCCCCCAAAAGGGAGAATATGGATGTGGACAATGCTGCTGGTATTCATAACAAAATAAATCTGTTGGCATAAAAGCATAGTAACATTGTTTGAACTGAACTTAAATATGGATCTCTGATTAAATAACATCACTTCTTCCTCTTTAAAACAAAACAATAAAAGTAAAAAAAAGAAAAGAGAGGGGAACCATGGAGGGGAAGCACAAAAAACCAACATTAACCTCAGTGCAGTGAATCAATTATGTATTTGGCAAGATCACCTACTTCTACAGATACAGGCACAAATAACCGTTCTTCACACTCATACAATATTAAAACCTTGCTACTTTGTAACTCTCCCCTTTTTCCAAGAAAATACATACCTGTTAATAAAGCAGTTTATTCCATGCTTAAGTATACGATCTACCTTCTCCTTCATTTTTTCTTTTTCTGCCTGTTCTATTTCTGCTACTTTTGCTGTAGAGTCCACTCTAACGCGAGAGCCAAAAATCTAAATCAAAGAAAACAAAGAGTTCAGTCCAAAAATGAATTCCACTTACAAAAACACTGTTTCACAGCAGTAGTTCTGTAACATACCTTAATTTTGTCTGTATCCATACCAGTGTTTGCAATAAGAATCTTTGCATTTTCAATTCTTTTTGGCTGATTTACACCAATCTTCTTGTCAAGCAAAAAGCCTGTATTAACAGAAATGTCTTGTAAGACTTCAAATTAGAAAAGGAGAACAACTGCTTTAAATTATTACAAAAAATCCCTCATATTTATTATTCAATTTAATAATAACATAGCAGTGTTTCCCAGAACAAGTTTGTAGAGAGATGTGTAACATTCAGTATCTTCATTTCTCAAGCACACGTACAGCCAACATACAAAGACCTACCTTCATCTAAGTAGGAATCAGCCAAACTGCCACCAAGTTTCTTAATGACGTGGATGGCCTCCAAATTACCAGAACCTTTCAATCTAAGAACCGCTTCTACAGCTAGCTTGACAAAGTGATCTTTGTGATGAGTAAGTAATTTTGATGAAAGAGTTGTTCCCGCAATGTTCATCAAGTCTTCACGGAACTTCACTTCATCATCACTAAAATAAAGTCAGTATGGTTAAAGTGGAAAGTCCGAAAGCCTTAACTATCATTAACCTCTCACTGCGAGTCTCTCCCTGCTTCTTCTAGCCTGCATCTATGTGTGTGCCGTGTTCCACTTTGAGAAATGCTACACAGAACCCATCCAGTGTCCCAGAATACAACCTCCTATTTGAAATACAAGTTCAACTAGGAGAACGTTTGCATTCAGCTTTAGAAAGCCGGTGCTCTCCAAGTGTCGGGTAAAGAAAACAGTCACATTCAAAATCAGGGTATGAAATCTGAAATAACAACTCAGATTTTTGTTCTAAGGAGAAAATTATTGCTTGTATTTTGTTTCTGCACATCGTAAGTCATTTTATATAATTCCATAAAGCTTCTGTAGTTCATCTAAAAAAAAGCAGCAGGTTTCTTTTCCTGTTAAAATTCATGAATTCAGCCTTTACACTACTTAAAAGAGAGCAAAGAACTTCCCAACGGTATATAACTCTCACTGATGTTTTAATCTTAACTGGTTTATGAAGAGTTACAGCAAATGTACGTTACTAACCCATGATCCACAGCTGCTTTCAAAAGTGCCTCTCTTGAAGCTTTTGTGGCTGCTCTCCAGCCTGCAATGATGGTCTGAGGATGAATCTTCTTTGAAATCAGTAATTCTGCTTCCTATTTAAATGAAATTAATAATTAGGGTTTTTTTTTCCCTCCCAAGGCACATTTACACTAAGTAGTTCCAAGTAACCAGAAAATTCTGAAGATCAGTAAAAGCCAGAGAGCTACAACAATGAAATTAAAAACCCTACTGGCATTCTTTTTCCAATCTAGGCAAGTATGATCTGCCCTTGAAACATCACCACGAAATTTTGATTAATGGGGGAAAAAAAAAACTAACCCCAATATGAACAGCAACTAGACATATTGGAGAGAGGCTTTTTACAAGGGCATGTAGTGACAGGACAAGGGGCAATGGCTTTAAACTGAAAGAGGGGAGATTTAGATTACATATAAGGAAGACATTTTTCACTCAGGGTGG